GCTTGAGCCACAGGCACCGAGCCTATCAAAAGTTTTAAGTTCCTAGAAATAGCTGTGCCCTAGAAATGAAGCTTAGTTTGAGTCTCTGTTTTGGGGTTAACTGCCATTTATTGTAACCTTGCCCCTTCACCTGAGCTTCAAGGATGAGGAGAGCCATGTATTAGAAAAGGAAAATAATCATTTAATATATTCAAACAGCCAGAGAGAGGATGAACAAGGAGTAAATCCAAAACAGTGAGTTCAGTAAGATAGAACTATAAGACAAGATTACAACTTTAGACAGTAGAAGAAAACAAATTATCTTGAGATTCTCAAGAAAAATAACATGGCATGCTTTTAATCATATCATAAAAGAATTGAAATGAAGTGAGAGGAACTTTTCTGTATATTAATTTGTAGAGAGGTTACTTTTCGTTGCAACTCAAATTAATGGTCTGGAAGAGTTAAGTAGAAGAGGATATTAACACAAAAAATATATAAAGAAAGAGAAAGACTAAATAGAGGAGATATAATAAATAACTAAAAATATAATAGAAGAGACTTCCTTTAGTTTGTAGAAGAATTGAAAGAACTCACTGAGTTCCACACTAGCCACACTAAAGTGTTGAGGGTGGTGGGCAGACAGGACTGCTTTCAAAAGAAAAAGAGTAAGTTATGTACTAGTGACTGGACTATCCAATATGGCACTGGAAAATTGAAAGTAATAGGATTACATCTACAGATTACTAAAAAAAGAACTGTATGGTGAGGGGCAGCACCTCTGGCTCAAAGGAGTAGGGCGCTGACCCCATATGCTGGAGGTGGCGGGTTTAAACCCAACCCCCCGGCCAAAAACTGCAAAAAAAAAAAAAAAGAATTGTGTGGTGAAAGTAACATTTTAGCAGATCTGCTCCAAGTCAGCAGACATATTAGCAGGTCCTCCATCTAGAGAAAGTTCCCAGTCAAGGATTCTCATCAAGTGATTTCCAATAGAATAAAAAAAAAAAAAGAAAATACTGATGAGCAAATGAATTTTACAGTATATTTAATAAAATCAAAATGGAGAATGATAGTGATGGTATAATCAGCATATTCCTTTGTCCTCTGCATTTCCTGAAAGTTTGCTTGTGATCCAGAAGTGTGATTAAACTCAGATTTTGTCCCTGGCAAGACCATAGGTGATGTTCTGTTTTTTTAGTGATTTTTTTTGTAAAGGTAACAGCCACTGATGCTTAATTCTAGATCCATTAATTCATTGGAGGTTACAAAATGGTGATATTCTGGGGTTTCTGTTTGTTTTGTTTTTTGAGACAGAGTCTCAAGCTGTCACCTTGGGTAGAATGCCGTAGCATCATAGCTCACAGCAACCTCCAACTCATGGGCTCAAGTGATCTTCTTGCCTCAGTTTTTCCATTTCTTTAGTAGAGATGTGGGTCTTGCTTTTTGCTTAGGCTGGTCTGGAACCTGTGAATTCAAGCTATCCACCTGCCTCAGCCTCCCTCAGTGCTAGGATTATAGGGGGGAGCCACTGTGCCCAGCCTATTATGTTTTTCTTTATTCATCTGTAGAACTTTTTTTTTTTTTTTTTTGAGACAGAGCCTCAAGCTGTCCCCCTGGGTAGAGTGCCGTGGCATTAC